CTCACGGGCTTTCCTCTTTTTCACCGCCCCTCCACTTTGCCAAATGTGATGTCCTTCTCTAGCGAGTGGTCTCTCCTGACAAAATGCCCCAAAGCATTTAAGACAAAGTCTTGCCATTCTTACCCCTTAGGAGTACTCTGGCCTTACTTCTTTCAAAACAGAGCAGTTTGTCCCTTTAGCTGTCCCTGGTACTTTCCATATTTTTTCCAGCACCACGATTCAAATGCATCAATTCTTCTACAGTCTTCCTTGTTCAATATCCAACTTTTACAGGCATATGAAGATACTGTCGGTTGGGTCAGGCACACCTGAGTCCTCAAAGTAGCATCCTTGTTCTTCAATACTCTAAAGAGGCCATGTGCAGCCGATCTACCTAATGCCACACATCTTTGGATCTCTTGACTGCTACTTCCATGAGCATGAATTGTGGATCCAAGCAAGCCCAAATCCTTGACTTCAACCTTTTCTCCATTCATTGTATATTATATTTTTAAAATTCATCATATCGGCAGGAAGTTCCTTTTGTTCCCTGTCTTTCCCAGTATTGCTGGGAAGCATCTCCCTAAAGCTATCTGGTGTCCTCGAGGGGTGGAGTCTCATAATGGCCTCTCCTCTCTCTCCGTTTGATCCTGCTCCTGTTGACGGACCACGGCAGCTCCTGAGGATGACCATCGCCAAGCAGCGGCTGGGCGACGAGGAGATCGGCGTGCGCCACTTCGCGGCCCACGAGCGGGAGGACCTGGTGCAGCAGCTGGAGCAAGCCAAGGAGCAGGTGAGAGAGATGGGTTTGCCTGGCTGGCCACAGTGCCAAGAGGAGCGGGCTGTGTCTCCGGTACCTGGGGAGTGTTGTTTGCCTCAGATGCAAGTCAGGAGAGGGAAAAGGATCCAGCCTGGCCAGCCCTCCTCAAGGGTTCTTTGCCGAAGCTTCGAGTTCCGCCAGCTCTTCTCCCTTACACTTGGATGCCCCTGTTCTGAACATAACTGGAAATGCGTGCGCACACACACACACACACACACACACACACACACACACACACACGGTAGAGAGAGAGAAGGAACAAAATGTGATAAATTTGGCCTTAATTTGCAACTTTCCATGAAAATGCCGGGCGATGCTTCCTAAGCAAAATCTCAGCGGG